TCTTTAAAGTAACAAGCCATCGCAGCAGTGAGAACTAAAAGGCTACACAGAGGCACATCAGGTGGCTCTGATGATTGAGTGGCGGTTAACAACGGGTAGCTTATTGTGACGGCTCAACTGCCACCATTACAACGAGGCTGAAAGCGCATACACGCGTGCATTTAGAATTCCTTAAAGGTGTATTTTATTTGATCCGTAAGGGATCACTTCAGCTCTTACAAAAGTATCTGGCAGAAAATACCTTTGTTCCCATGAATGGGAGTGGGTTTGCTTTTTGGGCTTTTTCCATCTCTCCCGGTGCTTTTATTTGCAGCCATTTCAAGTCGGAGTTGTCGCAAGTCTGGTATCGTGTGAGACACTTTTGTGAGCACCTTTGGCTTTTCAGCTGTGGTGTTTTACATGTTTAAATGCTCCACGGATCTACCACATAGAAAATGAACAGTTATTAATAACAGTCTGAGATATAAACAAAAACAAAAAAAATAAAAAAAAATACAGTAGCAATCAGAGCACCAGCCATTAGCTCAACCCAGAGTCTGAAGATGTGTGATGATCTTTCAGAAACTTTTCTTTCTCCATGGCATATGCACAGGCCATGTCATGTTACATGCACAGTGGAGCCCTATCCTTAACATTCACAGAAACTGGCTATTTTTCTTCTGCTGCACATTTTTTGCTGCCACAGAGTTTGTGTCTGGTGCCCCAGATGCAGCAGATGAAAGCCATGGAGTTTTGCAACAGGGAGTTTTGTTACATGCAAAACACAAGCTAGAAAGCTAATCAAGCATCATCAGGCTCCCCACTCACTTCAGGAGATGTTTGGCCTTTGGCACAAATCAGCACTGTTGCATGGAGTGTAATGGCAGATATTTTCTATCTGTACAATTAGAAAACCCTTGGGACCACAAAAACAGCTTTCTGAAAATGCAATTGCAAGCCTTCTTCTTTGCCATGCGACTACTGGGTGCTTCCTACTGTACTATGTACTACAAATACGTATGTTGAAATGAACTGAAGGTCACAAATGACGTGGAGTTCCTTAGTGATGAGAACTGCCTCGTGGAACCTGCATACTAAGCACTGGAAACAGCTTGAGTCTTCAAAGTCCAAAACAAACAAATAAACAAAGAACAACCACAACAACAACAACAAGAACAACAAGAATATAAAAGAAGCACTGGGGGTAGGGAAAAAAAAGGGTGGTTTGGTCTCTGGATGACACTGAGGTGTTTGCACACAAATTCTTTGCATAAGGCCAGAAAAACAGTAAGGAAATTACAGGGAGCGGGAAGAAAGCAATGGAGCCAAGGGGAAAAGATTTAAAACTCAGTTTCCTTATGTATTCCTTTTGGAATCATGGGAGCAAGCTATCTTATACACATATGCATGCATACATACTCTCTGCAGTGGCAGAAGTAGAGGAGAGCCCAGGAAGTAAGCACTACCACTGCATACTCATCTCTCCCAGGGAAAACCCTTTGGTCCTGGTGCCCCATGAGGGAAACAGCCCCTGAGGCACTGCTGGGACCAAAGCTCATGGCTCCTCTCTCTGTGAGCTGATACACTTCTTTCTTGTTAAGCACAAAAAGGTTCAAAGCCATGATTTCAAGCCTGACCATGACCCCCTATGAAAACAGGTCAGGCAACTAACTCACCATGAAAAATATTCTTCCCCCCTCCCCTTATCTCATTCTAAATCTATTTTAAATTTATGGGGAGATTAGATACCAACACGCACGTGTGTGATGCCTTGACGTTGATGCATGGACTCAGTGAGTCCCTCATTTTACCCCTTTCCATTTCATCCCAGCTCCATAAAATGCCCAGGAAGCACCACTTTAACAGTGTGATGACAGTTTAATTAGATCAAGACTGCAGCAGAGGGGGGAGCATTGGAACTGGAGGCAGTTGTGGGTTAGAGTCAGGATCTTTGCAGCTCAGCCTTCTTCCAGCCTAACTAAATAAGGGCAGCTTGGGGGCAGCTGCTGATACTTGCATCTGGTTTTCCCCACAGGTATGACGTCCCATCCAAAGTCTAGTGGCTGTATCTGCATGTATATCTGTATGAATATCTAGTATGATAGGGTTACAGTAACTGTAATTTCTTTCTTTGATTTCCATTTCTGAAGCTTATGATGCTAAGATTTGCGTTCAGCATTATCTGAGTGAGCAGCAAAGGATAATAATGCAGGTACACCACAGCCATAATCCCAGTCTCAGTAAAATTCATAGCAAAACTCCCACTTACTCAAAGAAAGGCAAGCTTTCACCTTCAGTTTCCCAGGAAAAAAATAGGAAGCCTTAAACTGGAAAGGCTCTAAAAGATTTATTTTGGTACAAACAAAGTGCCTTTCCCCACAAAGTCCATTGCTATTAAACTTGGACTTGCAGCCTTTCTTGTGAGAGACATACACTGTAGCTGTTTTAGAGCTCTATAGAGTATAACGGACAGAAATTAAACTGGTTGCTGTAAGTAATATCAGGGAGTAAAGTTTAGGCACTTTGACTCCCACATTTCCACACATCTCAGATTTTAATACTTGTTTTCCAGCACTGTTTTATGTATGAAAGTGCACTGGTTCCCAGCGTGCACACTCAGGATTCCCAGGTAGGGGGCATTTTATAGACCTTTTCACAATGTCTTATTAACAAAGGCTTGTTTTCAGCTGGTGATCTATTTTAATAAAACATGCACATGATTATTCTATGCTTTATTTACTATTTGCTAGCATTTGGTTAATGCATTTGTTTTGCAGTATTCTCCATTCTTTTGTATTTTTCCTAGCATTCTGATATATGCATACATTACGGTTTTTTGCAATCTGAAGAAAAATCACTGAGATAATAACACCTTTTTGTCTCATGTCACCATCTGCTGCGTCATCTCTGCAACACAAATCATCTTTATTGCTATCTTTATGTACTATCTTCTAGAATAGATCTTGAATAAAATCTTTCTCTATTCCTGCATTACCAAGGTAATATGATACAGAGAAACTCTTTCTTACCTTCAGTATTTTCCGTCTTCTACATTTAGGTTCGTTTTTATCTTAGTGTCGGTGTGCCTGACCTTTAATGCAACGATTCTCAGTGCACCAGTATCAGGCAGAGAAGTGCTATGCATCCTATATTACAGATGGGGAGCTAAGACTTGCCTAAGGTCACACTGGACTGTTTGTGGAAGATTAAGGACTCAACTCCAGGCCTTTCACATACCAGCAAACTACCTCCAGCACCAGACCCATCAGACACTTCAGTTTGCTGCCATCCAGGCCCTGCCTGACTCTTACACAGCCTCTTTCCAGGACATCTCCTGTAAAAAACACAGCTTTATGCCTGGGGTCACACAACCCCCACCCCCCCAAAAAAATGTTAGTTATTTTAAAAATCAGGTAGCATAAGAAATCCAGGTAATTTGTGATGCAAGTCAGAGAGGTTTTTTGACTGGGACCTGCTGGTTATTGGGTTTACATGACAAGATTTTGGTAGCAGGAGAGCTGCAGGAGGGATTTCTGTGAGAAAACATCAGAAACATTCCACAGAGACAGTTCCAGTGACCTCAAAAAAAGAACCCAATTCTGGCCAAAGTTGAGCCCATCAGTGTGCTTGGGGAAATCAGTTTTGCCAGGTCAAACCTGTTGTGCCCATGACAGTAATTGCCAAGTGGTCTCCATGTCGTTTACACAACCCACGAACTTTTTGTCATATTTTCCAGCAGCCAGCAAAGGTTAAACCACCACAATATAATTATCATTGCAGCCTTATTTGGTGAGACCGTTGTCATTACTCCATAGAGGTGTATTGGTATCTGAGTCAATGCATGTTCTTCTCTTTGTAAAGATGAAGTTAATTGAATTAACTCTTGTATGCCACATTAATACTGCTAGAACTGAAAGGAGGATATGGCCTGTTGAGCTTGTGTGATTGCTGGTTTTTGTCTTAAAGTGGAGCTCTTGTTTTTATGATATTTCCTAGCAAAAAAAACTAGTGTCATTTTATCTTTAACAGCACCTACTTTTTAAAAATCCAATAAACATGGCATAAAGTAGAGAATTAAAGTGTGTTACCTATATGAGTGCTCTGAAGACATTGAACATCAAGTAGTTTGCCTTTGTCACCTCTCTGTCACTGCAAGTCACCCAAATAAGGTTTACTGTAACTGAGCTAATGATAAATCTGCAACTCTGTAAGAACAGCTTTCTATCTTTAGGCTTCAGCTATGCTTTTCTTTTGTGTGTATAGCCTATTTATGGAATGCTGCTGTTGAGCTTGAATGCAAACCAGAAAAGCGTTCCTGCCTAAATTGTCTATAAATACCTTGTGGAGGAGCTTGAGGGGTTTTACTGTCCATGTTTTTGTGACGCCCTCAGTGTGCTGCTCTGCTCAAGCATTTGTTTGTTCCTCATTCAACATCCATTGTCTGTCTTCAAAAAGTGACCTCCTGAAATGTATACCCCACCTCTGTACAAGACTGCTATTTTTGTATAACCCTGAGAACAGTGTTGCTGTATGGCCTTCATGAGGCAAGACAATGCAGAAACATGTGCATGAAAATTACCTTCTTCGATATACTGAGGCACAGAAAAGCATACAGATTTTTTAGGAAAATAACAAAGGAAAGGATTTTAGCTGAAATAATGCTGTAATCTGTTAGACTAGATCAGACTAATGTTTACTTGTCCCATATTCCCATTTCGAACAGTGGTTGGAATAGGATGCAAATGAGGACAATTGAAGAAAATGCAGAGCAAAAGTATTAGGGGATAATTTGTACCTAGGAAAATTTTGCTCATTAATTAGGCACAGATTCATGCCCTCAAGCAGAAAGCTTTCAAATATTTTTCAAATCCTGAGCTTTGGGGTTGTCTCAGGGTTTTGGTGGTTTTTGTTTTTGTTTTTGTTTTTGTTTTTGTTTTGGTTTGACATCTTATGTAACAACCCCAATCTCTTCTTGCTGGGGTATCAAGTTGTATAGGCTGATCACTCAACAAACACATGGTTTCTTTGAAGAGTTCTAATTTACCTGTTTTTTCTGACTCTTTGAATCATTTTAGATTTTAAGCTGGGGGTGACAAGGAGTGTAGCCCTCTAGAAATGTAGGCACTTTGACTTCCTAGTGCATCCTTCCGTATGGCTTGAAGCAGAGAGGGACAAAGATAGTAACAACACATCCTGCACAATTCAATCCAAGTTGCATAGGGCATTCTAATTGAATGGTTTTATGATGTTATTGAACACTCCTGTATCTTGTGATGGGGGTGTGGCCGTTTTTTGGGTCACTGCCCTCAGCAGCCTCCAGCAACACTGAGGGTGTCACATCCCTTACAGCTCACCCAGGGCTGGAAGGGCTGCCCAGAGCAGTCATCGCAGTTTAGCAGCCCAATTACAGAGCACATCATCCCAGTCATGGGGCAAATACCCAGATACTGGCTTTGGAAAAACACACATGGAGAAGTAAAATTGTCTTTACATCCATACAAATGTATGTGCTTTTCCAAAAGGTTTTGAAATAGTGAAATGCAAAGTCTAAATAGGTCAAGAGCAAAACAAATTTGTTTTTAAATTAAAAAACAAACAACCAAACATTCAAGAGATAAAAACTGCAGTCTACACTGAGCCTCATTTGACACTGGAAATATGAACATGGGCCACAGTTGTGACAGCAGTAGTGCAGCATAGTTAAATTATCTTCAGTAACCAAACAGAAAATTCCTAAACTTCAGCAGAAAATTGCAAGTTAAATGTATTAAATTTAACTTTAAGTTGTCAACTAGCAGCCTTATTCACACATGATTCTTTGTTTTTATCTATTGTAAGTCAGTCAGTTGAAAACCATAGAGTTAATACATCTCCTTTTTGCAGGAATTTATGGCATTTTGACATTGGGGGGAGGGATTAGACTAAAAATAAGAAACACTTTGCAAAACAAAATTGAGAGCCACCTGACTGTACAATAACTTGAGATTTTACTTTGGTGGTGTGCATCGATATTACATTTACATTTGCTTAATGTTTCATGATGTAAAATAACTTTCAAGAAAGGTTTTGTTCCAGTGAAGTTGAAGCAAAATAGGAATTTGTCAAACAAGAACAGTACTTGGATTTCTGCAGCTTAAAGTAAAGTCTGAATAATCAGGAATCAGACCCTAAAATGAAATGCTGATTTTATAAAAACAAATGGGGAATATGCTATCCAGAAAACAATTCACCCAGTTTTACAAGGAAAAAATGTTTGCTTATCAAATTGTTCAAGAAGCTAAACAGGCTGGCATCACCATCTCTTGGGTAATATTACACTTCAGGTTTGTCTGGTTTATTTTTGTGGGTTTTTTTTTTCCTTCTCATCCTATATAGCTCAAGTCCTTCCAGTACTAAATGCTTTGTGAATGCTGTTGTTGATGTGGCACTCAAGTCTTTGAGGTTGTAGGAGGAGGGGGTGTCAGGGTTGGGAAAAGGTGAAGATGTATGCAGGTGAAGGGGGGGTGGGGGGGAAGGGGGATGTTTGTTACCCCCTCCAGGATGCCCAGAACAAAGAACAACACAAAGGCCTGGGCAAAGGTGACAGTAAAAGTGAGGTTTTACTGAGTGTAACCCATTGCCACTTTGTGTTTCATGGGATGTTTGTGAAGTCAGGCCAGTTTTTTCCTGGTCATGCTTCATCACCAGAGATAGTAGGTTTATGAGACAAATCTTGCCTTCCTTACAACAGGAGGATTATGCCGGTATAAACGAGAGTTTAAATAGGCCCGTTAATAAATCTTCAGTGCAAATCAAAAACATAGTTGACAGCATTTGCACAGCATTTAAGCAAAAGACACTGTTCTCTTTGGCAGTGGAAGTTGACTGAAGCTTTATTAAACCTCCCACAAAAAGTGCCAACTTCTGATAATGAAATAAACTATTGTATTTTTTCTTGTTTATATCCAGAACTCATGTTTGAATGTCGGAGCAGGCTCCAGGACCAGAGAGCAAAGAAAGCAGCAGTAATAAATGGATATAAAAGGGTGGGATAAAACTGGGATATTCAAAACAGCATTACCCCCAGATGATGTCAGAGCCTTAACTCTTTAGCTGCTTTCTGTTGTGATATAAATTAGCAGCAGAAGTAAGTCTGTCTTTAGATTCAAAGAGCATGGTTAGTGCTCTCAGGCCCTAGTAGAGGTCAGGTATTGAAATGCTTAGACAGACTCAGGTTGTTGGCTCGGGACCAAGGAAATAAAATTCCTGTCTCAAAATGCATCTGTCAGGCGTTTCGTTGAAACAAACTTGTTTGTTTGTCTGTCTGAACTGCTTTGTGTCTAAACAGGAGGGAGGACGTAACCTTTCGGCAAAGGTGTGGAGAAATATACTGGGAACATTTCTTTGTGTTTTCAGGGCACCTAGAAAACAAAAGTCAGATGTGACCCCTTGCAGCATGTGTCTCTGCATTCTTCTCCCCCATGTCTCTTCCCCTTGGGCCAGGCTCACTTGACAAAGAATTACGGATGGTTCATTCGGCTGCTAACACTCTGTGCTGAAGTCAAGTTGGCCACGGTGTGCAGATGTTAATTCAATGGCTTGGTTTGTGCAATTCAATATATAATTTAATGTGCATAATCTGAGAAGTACGATTGATTTAACATCAGTGTGGGAACTTTAGCTTTCAGTTTTCATGAGTTATGTGTGTTTGAATTCTGAACTTTAATGCTGTACTAATGTAGACATTTGCATTTAATGACACAGCTAAGCTGAATAGGCCTGCCACCCTTCTAAACTCTTATAAGTTTCTCTGTGAAAACCTCTTGCTGAAAATACGAACAACAGCTGGTAGATTTCCTGACTGAAATGCTGTAGGCTTGATCATGAAAAGAGAAGAAACACAGCATCAACAAGATCTCATGAATCTTTTTATGATCATTACCTTAATATATTATGCTCCTTGCATCTACTTAAATAAAGCAAAATTATTTAATATTCATGCTGAAACATACAAGGATGCATGACAGAACCACCAAAGAGATGACAGTAACATAATATTTATCCCAGATTCTTTAAATGTTTGTGATTTTTAAAATAAATCAACCAAATTCTGTAGACAGATCTGAAAGAAGATGTCAGAAATAATCAAAACATTCTTGCTCTGACATTGGTGTACGGTTGAAGTTATGTCTGACTTTGAGAGGCAGATCCTAATACCCTTCCTGCTGCTGAGGTGCCCCTTACTCCATCAGCAGGACCATTGATTTCATCAGAGCTGCTGCAAAGGGAGAGGTTTTGTTGCTTGAGGTTTTGCTGCATTCAAGGAGAGGGTTTGCTAAGTGAAGGGGATCACACCATGTCGTTCAGGCCTTGTAATGGCACTGTGTTTACTCTTCCAAGTAAGCACAGGGGAATGCTCATGCCATTGATATAGAAACGGGTCTCCCAGAGTGGGAAGAGGGCCACCTCCAGGGACGGATGTAGAGATCACCAATTAGGAGTTACTCATAACTGCATGCTTGAGATCACTCTTTGGAGATAGGTCTCTCTCTCAAGTGCCTGCAGAATAAATCAAGAAAGCCTAGTCTCCAGCAAGGCACAATAGTTACCTTCCTGGTGCTGCTTGACATGGACACTGTGCTCACAGACTAAGGACCACCTTTGCCAAGGTACTTCGGTAACCAGCTCCCAGTCACTTCTGCAGCAACGTACCAAGTTGGTTGAGGTGTGGGAATAAGTTCCTGTAACCATCACTATGGGCATATAGACTGACCCATATTGAGGCAATGAAGCAACGGAATAGTTTATTGTTCCATTCAGCATGTTTTAAATCTGGTATTTATAAATTTCAAGGCTTTAAAAAATATTTCCTGACTGGAATGTTGAAAGAAAAAATAGTCATTTTAATAACATATAAGCATGATTTGCTAACTAGTTGTAATAATTTCTGAAAAAGAAAAAAAAAATTAGTTCAGCACATTGATAGGAATTCTGCTTCTTAATTTTTTGATCTAAATGTTTCTGGCTTTATCTCAAACTGCTCTAGTGTTGTCTTTAAAAAGTCAATATCAACAATTTCTTTTTAGAAAAAAGAATTACTAGAATTTCCCACCTTTAAAGCTGACTTATTTTTTTTAAAATTACTTTGCATTTAGCTAAAATTTAAAAATCCTTTTCTGCATGAAAGTAGCTTTCAAAGTTCAAAAAATACATTGACTCCTGTTCTCTGGTTTTGACAAGCTTTTATAATAAGTTACCTTATTGCATGCAAAGATTAGTTGATTTTTAGCCTCATAACCACCTGGAACATCTAAGTCTTTCATAAGAGAGACAGAGACCTAAAGGTCTAATATGGGAAAAGAAAAATGCAGCCCTCAAAGGAATGTCTTGAGGGCAGCTTGAGGGTTAAATATGGGCATTAAAAAGAATCCAATTAAATTGAAAACAAGGGTGTACTAAATTGCTCAACTGTAATAAATTCATTATGTATGGATAAAGGAAAATATAACAATTCATAATAAACACATGCACTTCTTAAATACAACTGTTTGTAAAAATAATTAAAGTAGATTATTCTTTGTTCCAGATGCTTGTTCTCAGTAGTCTGGATTTAGCAGTGCAGAGGTAGCAGTACTGTTTGGGGAGATGGGAGATGTGCGCTAGCAGTAATGTATAAGGGGAAAACAACCTCATATAAAATTTATGTCTTCTGTATAAAAAACAGGGGAAAAAAAGTAGGAATCAGATGGTTTTTGTTGTTAAACTTCAAAGGCTATACCTTGCATTTCTGCAATTTTATGGCTGACTTAAATGTTAATGCAATGCTACCTTTAAGTTCCCCTCTTGTACCAGCATTATGCAATAACTGGGGTTAGATTTTCTGAACACGTAATCTCCAACCAAATTTTCAAAGTAGCTTCACCCTGTAAGTTCCCCTGACAGGAAAGAAAGGAAAAAGGAGTCCTTTTGTTCCAGATACACTTCCGAAGTCAGGGCCACCTTTGTGTTTCAGCTACATAGCCCAAACTCCAGTAAGAGCCATGGTCAACCATAAGGTTCATAAGATTGATGAGGTTCAGACCTGCCTGTGGAATTGTATATGTTAATGTAAATTAATGTTTTGAAAGTACAAGACAGAAGACTGTTTGAATGACCATGGCTATGTTTCCTGTCTTCTTCCGCATTTTCTCCAGGCTGAGAGGAGCATAGTTGATGTTAGTCAAGTAAGAAGAATATGCTATGAGAGACAAAAAATCCAGCATCATTAGAAAAAATAAAACAAATAAAAAACCCCAACCAAAACGGCAGTGATCTCATAGGCCAGGAGAGCTACTGAAAATGGCAGCTATCTGCAATCTTCTCCCCAAAAGAATTTAGTTTGCTAAGAATAGTGCGTGAAGTATTTGCATGCAGGCAGTGTCAGAGGGCAGATTGACACAGTGATTGGGATTGCATGGAGAAGCTGATTCATTAGGGTCCGATGCATTCTTTAAGAGGAAATCTAGAACAAGTGCCATTATTTCGGAGTACATTTCTCACTCACTGAGTCAAGATTCCCAGGAGCTATGAAAGGCAATCATGCAGTTCTCAAGTGATTGGAAATGTCATTATAATGTAAAATGCAGAAAACTTAATCCCCATCACTTTTTCCACAGCTTTTTTCCTGCCTCGACAGATGTTCCTTGTCAGCCTCTTAAAAAATACATGGACCATAATACAGGCTCACCATGGTCACTGCTAACTTGTGGTGTTAGTCTAAGTATTAGCTGATGGTAAGAGCAGGAACAGGAAAATTTTTACTCTAAATAAAATATGTGTCTTTCTGGCCAAGTTGAGCAGAGAGGTATTACAAAAAAATTGAGGCACACCCTATATTCTTTGCATAGTAACTGGTGCAGGTGGTAAATAGCTGTGTTCAGAGATCATGGTAGCCTTTGAAAGAAATGGTTAAGACATGGTATGGGACACATGGGGCTCTGAATCCCAGGGAAAGGATCTCCAAAATCCTTCAATGCTCATTGCAAGGAACAGTCTGAAGAGCAAGGAAGAAAACAGGCTCCAGATATGTTGGAAAATACATAGAATCATGGAATGGTTAGAGTTGGAAGAGACCTTAAAGATCATCTAGTTCTAATCCATCTGCCATTTACTAGATTAGGTTGCACAGCCATCCAACCTGACCTTGAAACACTTATAGGGGTGAAGTATCCACAGCCTCTCTAGGCAACCTGTTTAAGTACTTCACCACCCTCTAAGTAAAGAATTTCTTCCTAACATCTAATCTAAACCTACTCTCTTTCGGTTTAAAACTATTGCCTCTTGTTCTGTAACTGTCTGCCCAGTTAAAAAGTTCTTCTCCCTCCTTCTTATAAGCCCCCTTAAGGTACGGAAGGCCACAGTGAGGTCTCCCTGAAGTCGTCTTTTCTCCATGCTGAAAAACCCCACCTCTCTCTGCCTTTCTTCATAGGAGAGGTGCTACATCCTTCTGATCATCTTTGTGGCCCTCCTCTGGACCCATTCTAATGGGCTGATGTCTTTCATCTGCCGAGGACCCCAGACCTGGATGCAGCACTTAGGGTGGGGCTTCACGATGGCGGACTAGAGGGGCAGGATCACCCACCCCGACCTGCTGGCCACTCCTCTTTTGATGTGGCCCAGGATGCAGTTGGTTTTCTGGGCTGTGAGTGCATACTGTTGGTTCACGTTCAGCTTTTCATCCATGAGAACCTCCAAGTCCTTCTCTGCAGAGCTGCTCTCAATGACTCCTTCTTCCAGTCTATACTCGTGTCTGGAATTGCCCTGAACACAAATCTCGCTAGTGTCCTGTACTGGGGTTTTAATCTGCTGGATACAACCACCTTCCAAAGGCTGCCTGAAAAGTGGAGATTGGCATAATGAAATGCACTGTTTTAGTTACAGAGCTGATACTGTGAAACTGTGCTTGTGGGTATTGTTCTTTGGAGTTTTGAAAAATACTTGGTCTTGTAATTTCTCAATTCCCATTTAAGCCAGATCAGCCTACCCTCAGAAAAGGAATCAGGACAAAAGTTGGTGTGACACAGGAGTCCCTTTATAATTCTTACATATCTGAGGTCATAGTGATCATCTCTCATTAATTTTTCTATTTATCAGTTTTATAGTCCACTATATGTCAGTCTGATCATCCTTACTAGGCAAGTGTTTGCTTTATTTTGAAGAGAACAATCTTAATATGATTTGACTCCAACTTAGTCACAGATTTTTTTTGTTGTCATGCCTGTTTTTTGACCCTCATGTCTTGTTTCCCAGGCTAGTTCATCACAATGCAAAGAAATAGGTTTGGTTTATACAATCAGGACTATGAAGTATTAAATGAGTCATGTATTTTATCTGTAGTAACCAATTGTCTTTGCCACTGGTGGGCTAAGTCATCTAACTTGGACTCCCTCTAATTCTTAAAAGGCAGGTATTTACATGTCAGAAAACAACCCTACTTTCATAGCACTAGTCACCACATTTCTTCTCAGAAAGCTCGGGAACGAGTGGCATGGGGAATTATTTCCCCATCTGAGAAACTGTGTCCCCTTCTATACTCTGTGCCACTTTTGGGCAAGTTTACAGGAGTAGGAAAATTTGCAGGATTACTTAAGGTTAAAAAGTTATTTGCACCGAAGAAAAAAGTTGTAACGCCTGTAAGTAGTAGTCATGCTACGTAAAACAAACGAGAGATTCTCCAAATCTTTGAGGCTGAACCAGAACTTGTCAAAGTCTCTGCTACCACCTCAGCAATGGCTTCACATATTGGGTGAGGTTCTGCTCTGTGATCTTTGGGGACATCTAGTAACCATCAGCAAGATGAGATCCTCTAATTCCTGCTAGATTAGTAAGTAAATAATAAATTTATATAAGATAGGATAGAATATTAATATATATATAAATAAATATATAATAAAAATATGAATCCTCCAAGGTGTAATTCCTATACTAACCCAAGCCTGCTTTTTCCCTTGCCATCAGAACTGATTTCTCCCATCCAGAATGAATCACATCTGTTTCAAGCCTGCGGCAACAAGAAGACCTCTACAAAGGGGAAAAAAATAAAAAAAAGGGAAAAAAAAAAGAAAAAGGAATCCTTCAAACAGTAAAACAAGTTGAAACCTGAATTCCCAACTTAGGGTGTTATCAGACATTGATATTTTGACTGCCATGGGAATGGAGCATGAATAAGGAGTACATACAGAGCTCAACCTGAATAAACCATACAGATAGGGAACGACAGGTTTTAAAAAGTGATTGATTGAAAAATGGTAAAACAAGCAGGTATTATCACAGATTTTTCACAAGGGAAACATGCTTCTTTACATTAGCCTCCCACAGGAATATATTGTCTCAAGTTTGCTAATACAGGTATTCTAATGGATGCTTTTACCATGTCTCATTCCCTTAGAGGTGTTCATTTTGGTGAATTAATCTTTTGCTGTTAGGCTAACTCTTGAGATATTTTTCTTTCTGTTTATTTTTAAAAAGAACTAGTCCTCAATTTAGAACAGTCTGAAGGGGTTTCCCCCCAACCTCATAAATAATGTATTCACAGGAAATTGCAGCTTCCATCAACCCAAGTCTACTCATGAGTCTGTGTAAATTCCATGAACAGAAACAACTAAGTGCAGAGGCAAATCAAGTGCAAGCTAAAGAACTAGAAGACGATGGTGACGATATCCCTTGTAGTTCAGTTCTCAAGAGAATACAGTGGTTTTGTTCAACCACCATGTAAACAATTTATCGATATGCAACAATGTAAGACTCATATCACAGAACTGTGGTACTGAACAACTAGAGTATAAGAAAATGCTCTAGTGGATCTGCAGATCGCTCCAGTATCCTCCCCAATGACTCATGTGTGGGGCAAGCATGGTGCTTCACCAGAGTGCTCCCACAGATGCTGCAGGGTGCATTGCTAGACTTACTGGTGCTAATAAGTCAGCATTTGACAACTCTTAAAGCAGTTCTTTTCTTTGAATGTGCCTCATTGCTTTTTCACATCCACATAAGTCATCAGCAGCTACACTGTTTTGTGGCCATGAGTCCCCCATTCTAATAACGAGTGCCATGAAGGAGCATTTCCTTTCTTTGTTTCGAAACTAGCCTTGCCTGGTTTCATTTGATGTCTTCTAGTTCTCAAATTGGAAGAGACAAGGAACATCGATCCCTGTTCCTATTCTCCATGCCTTCTGGTGATTTTATGGTCCTAAGGCAAACCAGAAAAATAAAAATATGCCCCTTGCTAGCATGCTTTTTGTTGCTTACAGCTACACTATAAGGTCTGTAAGCAGAGAGGAGTTTATGGCATCTGGGAGGGATTTTCATGGCTAAAGATGATATGTGGTGAGCCTGGCTGAACTGAAAGGCAGTGGGTCTCACACACTGGTACACCTAAATCATTTATATGCCTTTTTTTTAAGTATAAATTCCTCCCAGAAGCAAAATGCACAAATTCACCCAAGTCTCACCTGCAGAATTTTAATTTCCCAGCATTATCTTCATGTGTGCATCTAAGATAGCTAAATCCTTAGACTTTGCTGCTTTTCTAGCTGAGCAGACAGTTCAAGGGTTTTGACACAACCAATCGCAGTTTGGAATTTAATAACTTCTAGCAAGGAGCTGAAGCAAAATGCCACACTGCATGACTGATTTCAACTCAGCTCTGACAGTTTGCACAAGCCAAAGATCCATCCCCAAATAAGGTGGTTTCTAAATTCATATTTTTCCAAGAGCAGTCACAAAGTATTTATAAGTTCTCCAAGAGCCTTAAAGCAAATGTGAAGAAGCGTCTCTCTTCCTGGACCTCTATGTCTTGCCAGGGAAAGCAGCTTTGCTGTGGCTTGTAAAAAGCTCCAGGAAAAAAAAAATCACTCATTCCAGTAAGTGGCCCTTGCCTATCCCATGTTGCTGTGGGGTGGACAGGAAGGGTTTGGCAGCTAAAACATTATCAAGGAAACAGAATAATCTCACTTCTTTTTTTATTTTATTTTTAACTTCCTTATAGTTTAAATATACGTATAGCTTAAAATATATGTAGTTTAAACATAGTTTAAATTGTAATAAATCATTTTAATAAATTATTTATTAAAATAAACAATAAAATATTTAAAATACTGGAGTGATAGATGAGTGTTCTAACAATTTGTTATCAATTGGGTTTGGCAGTGAGGTTAAAAACAAGCTTGTGCACCGTTAGCGGTGTCCCTTTCCACCAGGGTCATAAGGCTCCCGTGTAGGTGACTGGTGTTTCCCTAATGGAGTAGGACTTGTTACAGAGGAAGGTGCTTATTTTTTGTCTTTTTTTCCACCAGTACAGCTGCTTTAGCTGCCTTTTCCAAGTGTCAGGTTTAAACTCTAGGTTTAAGCAAGTAAGGTATCAGTGGAAAATAAGAATGTCTTAGAAATCTTTCCCTAGTCACGAAAAATTGGGTTGTCCTGGATTTTCTATTCCTACCTCCCCTGTTTCTTAAAGCACAGCTGCATTTCAGTTTCTTCAAGTGAATGATCAAATACCAGGAATTTAACATTCACTGTGTCCATGAAGAGCATGGGTGGGCTTTATAGACTCCAACACAGAGGAGCAAGTAAGAAAAGAGAACAATGTGAAGAGAAGCCCTCACGCAGCTGCAAGGGGAAGGACCAGGTTGGTTGTGATCTTCCATATGCCCAGTTAAGCACCACAGCACTACCTTGTCATCAAGGTAGAAGAACAGTTGTTTGTGCTTCACCTGCAGTCCCAGCTACAGCATGGTCTGCTGCAGAGCCTCTGTGGTGGTTTGACCCTGGTTGGATGCCAGGTGACCACCAAGGCTGGTCTCCTCAACTGTGCAGGGGAGAGAAAGGCTTACGACTTGAGGTAAAGACAGGGAGAGATCACTCACCAATTATTGTCATGGGCAAAACAGACTTGATTAAAAGAAATTAGTTGAACCAAAATCAGAGTACAATAATGGAAAGTAAAACAAGTTCCTCACAAGGGGAAGTGAAGGGGCAGGCAACTGATCTCTTCTCTCTGGTGACCAGTGACAGGTTCTGAGGAAGCTCTGTCAGGGGAGGTTTAGGTTGTATATTAGGAAAAGATTCTTCACACAGAGTGTGGCTGGGCACTGGAACAGGCTCTCCACAGGGAAGTGGTCACAGCACAAAGCTTGACAGAGTTCAAGAAGCATTTGGACAATGCTCTTGGGCACATTGTGTGATTCTTGGAGTTGTCCTGTGCAGGGCCAGGAGTTGGACTTTAATGATCCTTGTATGTCCTTTTCAACTTACTTCTATGATTCTATGAAACCTTAAAAACACTCTCCTCCCACCTCCCCTTGTTCCTGGCCCTAACTTTATTCCCTATTCTACTTCCTCCAACCCAACAGAGCAGGGACTGAGGGAATGGGAGTTACAGTCAGTTCATCACATGTTATTTCTCCCCTCCTTCCTCCTCAGAGAGGGGAGTCCTTCCCCTGCTCCAGCACAGGGTCTGTCACACGGGAGGCAGTCCTCCACAAACTTCTGCAATATGAGTCCTTCCCATGAGCTACAGTTCTTCAAGAACTGCTCCAGTGTGGGTCCCCCACGGGGTCACAAGCCCCGCCAGTAAACCTGCTCCAGTTCCTGTGTGTTCCTCTCTCCACAAGTATGCAGGTCCCTGTTGGGAGCATGTTCCAGCGTGGGCTTCCCACAGGGTCATAGCCTTCTTTTTAGGCATCCATTTGCTGCACCACAGGCTGCAGATGGGCCTCTGCTTCCCCATGAACCTCCATGGGCTGCGAGAGGACAGCCTGCCTCACCGCGGTCTTCAGCATGGGCTGCAGAGGAATCTCTGCTCCAGTGCATGGAGAACTTCCCTCTCCACTGACCTCGGTGTCTGCAGAGTTGTTCCTCTCACATGTTCTCTCTCCTCTCTTCTCTAGCTGCAATACTCCCACACAGTAACCTTTTTCCTTCTTAAATGTGTTATCACAGAGGCGTCACTACCATCGCTGATGGGCTCAGTGGTGGGTCCATATTGGAGCCGGTTGGCAATTGCTCTGTCAGACATGGAGGAAGCTTCTAGTAGCTTCTTAGAGATGCCTTGCAAACCCAATACAGCCTCAGTGACTCACACCCAGCATCCCTGTAAACATTTCCCTTCAACAACAGCCCGCAGGCTGCCACTGTGTATTTGCATTATTCTACAAATACTTTCTGTTGTGAATAATGTAAAAATCATTGCCTATTGTGTTTCAGCTTCTTTAGTGTCTTCTGAAAATAGAACATACACTGAAGTAGTGCAATGTTATGCTTCAAGTCTGGGCTTTGTTTGGGTATTTTTTTTGTTGGGATTTTTTGTGTTGGTTTTGGTTTTCTTTCCCCTGCTATTTTTCACCCTTCTTGAATGATCTGGTGGTGAAGTATCTGTCACTGCATAACAACCTTTATTACCAACATTGCTGCCTCCTAGGTACTTGAAATAAAATGTCCTTTTCTCAGCAGAAGGCTGGGTTTTGCTTACTGGCTGGTGTACAGGAATTGTTCCACCTACCTGTGAGAGCAGCTCTTTCTGGGCCATGGCAGACCCACTGCTTAGGACCTTGTGACATTAAGGCAATAAAATAAAAACATTATATCAACTTGAAAGTACAGGGTAAGTCCAAATGGGCTGAGTGCAATATAGTACAAACTGAGATTTATTTTTCCCTGTGTGCATTGTATCAGTTTATATTATAGTGGCTTTGGATTGTTTATTTGCACTGAGGAGGCAGCTTTCAGTTTCACTTTTAATTTTTGTATCTGGATTGCTGTAGAAACAGAGATTCCCTTTGGAAAAGGTGGCTTCTACTTTTCTAAAGCATGACTGCTCTACAGCCACATTCAACCCCATGATGGTGTGGGCAGATTCATAGCACTTGCCCCTTCTGCTACAAAAATAAATCAATCCAGCATCTATGCACTAGTAAAACTGCATCCCAAAGAGAAGTATGAAAGCATCCCAGCTGGTGCATATAGGAGAGGCCTATAGAAGATGTAGCTGTGACAGAATGACTCTGCTTGTCTTCTCGGCTCCAATAAGTGCCAGGACCAAATAAGAGAATGGTAAGCTCCAAATGTATACATATATATATATATATATACACAGGGGTATGTATATTTATATATCTATAAATACATCTTATGTATCTATAGTACATAAACACACAGAAATATGAGT